CAAAACTTACTGAGCAATACAGTTGACAAAAAAACCCGAACCAAAACAACCAGGCTCAGGCCTATCTGTGTCTGAGTTTCATTCATGCATTTATATCCCATTGGCAAAGTAATTTTACCCTTCTGGAGAATGCATTCGTAGAAAGGATCCCAAAGAGATCTATAAGCTGTTAAGCATCATGTTCTTATTAATCGTGATCAATAAGAATAACTGCAAAAGTCTAGTTCCATGATGAAAGATGTGGTCGATTTCTAATTCAGTTTTATCTGCACACTAGTGCCTCAGTTCCTAGCTGGTCATTGTACACAGTAACTATAGCTACTGTGCTAATTTCTGCATTGCGCATTTGTACACTAGAATTCCAAAGTTATTGGAAGGCTCAGAACAACAGACATTGCTATCATGAAAAGACAGCTACTGAAATTTTGAGTGCACTTTTCTAGTTAAAAACATAAGCTACTTTTTCTTTAAGCAGATAAATGTATTTAGAAATATGCAGATATCATTTGTGCTCTGTAAGTATGCTTCCATGCTCACAGAAAATGCTCTATTTTACGATGTAAAATACTATAATTTCAACAAGTTGTAAAACTTACAAATATTTATAAGATAGTTCCTAAAAAACAAATTCGCAGTTCTCTGTAGACTAGTTACATGAGACACCTATTGAACATTCATAGGGCGTCAACATTTACAGCAGTTTAACATATTGAACACAAGATAAGTAGTTGGATTGGGGTTTTTTGTGTTGCTTGGGGGGTTTTTAAGCAATACATCTTAGCGACAAAATGGAGCATTTTCTGAAGCACTTACTCTATTCCTGGTTGCAGTTCCTGATAAAGCATATTTTATTTGGGAATAACTAATGATTTAGTTACAAAGCACAAAAATAAGAACTTTCAAATGTCTGCTTTATGTGGCAGCATTGCAGCACAGCTGAAATGAAGTATTTTAGCATTCGTAGCAGGAATTCTGTAAAAAAAAAAAAAAAAAACCACACAAAAACCCAACACAAACGAACAAAAAAACCCACCAAAAAACCCCCCACAAAAAAAAAACCCACACAAAAAACCAACACACACAGAAAACCATGCTGCCAAATTCATCAGCAATGTTAGTTTTGTGTCTGCACAAGTGGTATAAAACGTTTTGGTCCAGGGCTCTTTCTCTCCCTCAATATCTCCATGGCAGTGATGCTGGATAGCCCAGCTCCTGTCTTACAACAATCCTTACCTCCATACTCCTCGCTTCACACAGAAAATTAACTCTGTCATGAGACTGGAAATCTACCAATTATGCAGTTAGCTTGGGAAAGAGGGAAATGTGAGAGTCTGGTGAGGGTGGTTATACAAATGCTTACTGTCAAGGTGTTACACTCACACAAGGACAGAGATCAGCCAAGGCAAACACTGTATTTGTGAAAATACAGAACTTGATAGAAACTACTGCAACATTAACAGCAATCCAACCAAAGCATGTCATCTGTATCGAATGAAATCCAGCAATGTCAATTTAATACACCATAGCACACTGACCAAAAAAAAGAAAGACATTATATGGAGATGGGGTTGAGATCATTACTATTAAGAGGAGATGTACAAATTGCAACTAGTTGCAGAACACTATTGCCCATTATTGCAGCCACATGAAATTATGATTGTTCAAAATGCAGAGTATACAGCTCACACTACTAAATGCATAGTACTTGCAGCCCATAATCAAGTCTGGAGCCATCAGCTCTATTATCAAGTCCCTCAAAAGTGGCATCTAAAAAACTGCTAGCATATTAACTGTGGGACTCAATGCTAATATTGAATGTCATACATCCAAGGCATGGATATGCACTGTTTTATATGTTATTTTTAGACTTCAGTATTGAGAAGCAGTATTACAGAATGGCTGCAGTGTGCTACTAGACAGGACTAGACAAATAGCCATGTGACAAAAGAGTTTGGCTGCTACTAACATGCCTCTTGGCAAGGTTAAATGTTGCCTCATGAACCAAATTAAACACAGGCATTACACAGTAATAACTCTTCTCTAGAATATGTCCCTCCAAAATTATTTGACTCTGGAAGAATGCAGGCCACTGAGTTCTGCATGCTACTTTTGCATTGCTAGATAGCAATTCCAACATGAAATTAAGTATCATTGTGAAGCACCTCTAATATGCTTTCTGTATTAAAAATACAGTAATTGCGTATGACCCTTAGAACATCTTCCACTGTTACAGTTGCATGGATCCTATTTGTTTAGTGTGCCAATAACTCATCCAAGTTCATTTATGACAGGTATACCATAAAGAAAATCTTTGTGGCAGAAAGCCTGAATAAAATTATCTTCACCAGAACACAAAATTACTTATCAAGAGAAATCACTCTAAAAGAGCTGGCCTTTAATATTAGTCCTAAAAATGTGGAATTGAATTTGCTTAATTTTCTGGGTCATTCCAAAGAACACTGGAAAATATAATTTTGGTTTTGAAAACTAGGGATTGGATTTTTTCTTCTTTCAAATATCTCCAAGTCTCGTAAGGCTTTTAACCTATTGCCTCTTAATTTTTACCTTCTTATTCCTTTACAACTTATCTCAACAAGCTTTATACATCATACTCAAGCTTAGTGTAGGGGTTTTGCCTTTGAAGCACCAATAACTGTTTGTGTTATGTGTACAGACACACGAATTTTAAAATCTGACTTCCATCACAAACCAAAAAGGGTTTGATGCATTCATCTCTGCAGTATGACAGCAATGTAGGAGAGGAATGAATTGCCTTCTTGTATTACAGTCCATATTAAAAAGTCACGATTTTCTAAGGTACTGGAATTACGATATATAGTTCAGATGTCAGAACTGACACACACTATGACTACGAATTCATCTGCTATGACAAGATGCACTTCTTAATTAGGGAAAATTTTAACATATAAATTTTGTATGTTTATGAGGAATAAAAACTTTAAACTATCATATTTACTAAAATGATCTTAATGCATCATTAAACTTTCTCATCAGGCTAAAGTTAAGATTCTACTTTCAACGGTAATTTCGCACAGGTCATGTAGGATGTGTAATGCAATACAGAGCATATGTGGTAAGTACTAATTCAAGAATATAGCTTCCTCACAGAGACTCAACTCTTCTCCAGAATGCCGTCTTGACTGAGGAACAGTCTGCAGACTAATCCACATCGTCTAAATTTGTTTATTGGATTTTGTGATTATTATTCTTCATAAAAAGTGAGGAGTGGATATGTCTGTTAGGAAAGAGTCTAGCACTAGTAATCTTTGGAATAAAACCATTAATCTAAATGTCTCTAATAACAGAAGAAAAAAGTCTAAAAAGGTCCATCATACTTCTTATTCAATCAGTTATTACTCTATTAATCAGTTGTTACTCTCTAAGAGCTCAAAGATGAAATGGGTCACTTCCATGCTGATCAAATCAACTTCATCTAAGCAATTGCTAACTTTGGGACTGACCAAGCTGATCAATGAGGCAAATCAGAGTAACAGCAGAAGAAAGCAGAAATTACTGCACACATTTTCTCTAAAAAATATGGGGTTTTTCTTTAATATGGGCATAAAGAATTCAAAGTGACCCTGAAGGAAAATGAACACAAATTTTCATAGCAGATTCCTTTAGTTATGTCAAAAAAAAAGTACAAAAATGCCCAAATAGCAATGTTGAACCTCTGCCAGTGTTTCACCATCCTCATCATAAAAAATGTCTTCCTTATAGCCAAACTAAACCTACCTTCTTTCAGTTTAAAATTGTTGCCTCTTGCCCTGTCCCTAGAGGCCCTGGTGAGAAGTCTCTCTCCATCTTTCTCATAGGCCCCCTTTAAGTACTGGAAGGTCACTATGAAGCCTCCCCAGAGCCTTCTATTCTCCAGGCTGAACCACCCCAACTCTCATAGCAGAGGTGCTCCTCTGGACTCGCTCGATCAGGTCCATGTCTTTCTTGTGCTGGGGGCCCCAGAGCTGGATGCAATTCTCCAGGTCAGGCCTCACCAGACCAGAGTAGAGGGGGTGAATCACCTCTTTCGCCCTGCTGGCCACACTTCTTTTTATGTAGCCCAGGATGCAACTGGCTGCAAACACACATTGTTGGCTTATGTCCAATTTGTCATCCACCAGTATCCTCAAGTTCTCTGCAGGGCTCCTCTCTCTGTCCATTTTCTTCAGTCTTCCTTTTCTGGCCAATGTATGCGTAAAAGCCCTTTTTCTTTGCATCCCTTGCCAAATTCAGCTCTAACTGTGCCTAACTTTCCGGATCCCATCCGTACGCATCTAGGCAGAGTCCCTACACTCTTCCCAAGACACATGTGTCTGGTTCCATTGCCTGTGCATTTCCTTCTCACCCTTTAGTTTGACCAAGAGGACCCTCCTGAGCCATTCTATTTCCTGCCTTCCTTGACCAATTTCTTACACATGGGAACTAAGAGATTATAGAAGCCAAAATCTTGAGTAGAACACCAGGCCCACAGCCAGGCATTCACCTGTTCAATTCGACTTGTCCTTCCTACACCCCTTCCTCTGACTGGGAGTACAGAGAAGACCACCTTTTAACATTGCTCCAAGGGATGGATAGTCTCTTTTGATTCTAAGTTGGGTCATCATAGGAAGACTGAAACTTGATGCCTAACAGTACAGCCTTCCCTCTTCTTCCTCCCTGGCCACCAGCTCCTACAGACCATGGGATACAGCACTGCCCTGGCATTGCCTACAACCTTTCAAGGCCGTTGAATTTACTGCTTGCTCAACTCTTGGGTCCAAACACCTGCAGCTCTGGAAATGACAAGTAACAACTGCTATTCAGCAGCTTCTCCTTTTGCTGCTGCAGCATGCTAGGATACAGACACTGGGCTGTGATGTCACCACCATGCAGCACAGACGTCAGGGGGACATTTGAGAACTTCTGCTTGGCACGCACAGCCAGCCAGCACCAGTTCTTTGATGTTTGCTGTCTGGCAGGACCAAGCCCAGCTGCCCAGGGAAATGCCTACAGCTAAACACCACTTTGGTCTAACCCTGACAGGAGAGTTTGAAAGGGAGCTGTCTCCAGGAGAAATATCTGCTTCTGCTCTGGATGAGTTCGCGGAGTCAGCAGACTCAACTTCTCCTGTCCTAAGAGTGCCTTGCGAAGCTGATCTAGTACCCATCAAGGAAGAAATGCATTTCCAAGCTTGCTGTGAGGACCACAAGACCAAGAGAGTCCATCCCATTTCTGCGGAGAAGAGCTCTGGTGAAGCTGATGACTTTGCATCCCTCACCTTTCCAAAGAAGCTCTGGAGAATTGTTCAAAGCCACCACTTTCAGTCCATTTGGTGGGTTGACGATGGCATCTGTGTTGCCATTGACAAAGAAGGATTCCAAAAGGAAGTGCTGGCACG